AGAAAACAAATAGAAAAGGTCAACAAAACTAAAAGTTGATTTTTTGAAAAGATAAACAAAATTAACAAAACTTTAGCTAGAGTAACCAAGAAAAAAAGGAGACTCAAAATAATAATATTATAAATGAAAGAGGAGACCTTAAAACTGATAGCACAGAAATACAAAGTATTGTGAGACTACTATGAATAAGTTAAGTATACACCAGAAAACTGGACAAGCTAGAAGAAATGGATCAATTCCTAGAAACATCCAACCTACCAAGACTGAATCATGAAGAAATAGGAACTCTGAGCAGACCAGTAATGAGCAAGGAGATTGAATCAGTAATCAAAAACCTCCCAAGAAAGGAAAGCCCAGGACCAAATGGCTTTATGAATGAATTCTACCAAACATTTAAAGAAGAATTAATACCAATCTTTATCAAACTCTTCCCAAAAAATGAAGAGGAGGGAATGCTTCCAAACTCATTTTATAAGGCCAGCATTACCCTAATAATAAAGCCAGATAAGAAAATGAAAGGAAAAGAAAAGTACAGGCCAATATCCCTGATAAATATAGAAGCCAAAATTATCAACAAAATATTAGCAAACCTAATTCAATAACCCATTAAAATGATCATACACCAGGTCAAGTGGATTCATTCCTGGGATGTAAGAATGGTTCAACATATGTAAACCAATACATGTGGTATATCACATTTATAAAATGAAAGATAAATATCGTGATCATTTCAATAGATACAAAAAAAGTATTCAACAAAATTCAATACCCTTTCATAATAAAAAAAAAAATCTCAACAAAATGTGTATAAAAGTAACATACCTCAACATAATAGAGGCCACATATGACAAGCACAACTAACATCATACTCAATGGTGAATGGTTGAAAGCTTCCCTTCTAAGATCAGGAACATGACAAGAATGTACACTACCACCACTCCTATTCAACATAGTACTAGAAGTCCTAGCCAGAGAAATTAAGCAAGAAAAAGAAATAAAAGGCATCCAAATCAGAAAGGAAAAAAGTAAAATTGTGTGTTTGCTGATGACATAATACTGTATATAGAAAATACTAAAGATACCACCAAAAAGCTGTTAGAACTAATAAATGAGTTCAGTAAAGTTTCAAGATACAAAATCAACATACAATAATCAGTTTTATTTCTATACACTAACAATAAACTACCTGAAAAATAAATAAATAAATTTCATTCACAACAGCATCAAAAACAATAAAATACTTAGGAATAAATTTAACTAAGGAAGTAAAAGATCTACACACCAAAAACTATAAGAAATTGTGAAAGAAATTGAAGAAGACACAAATAAATGGAAAGATATCCATGTCCATGGATTAGAAGAGTTAACACTGTTAAAATGTCCATACTACCCAAAGAAATCTACAGATTCACTGCAATCCTATCAGAATTTCAAAGGCATTTTTCACAGAAATAGAAAAAAAATCCTAAAATTTGTATGATATCACAAAAGACCCTGAATAGTCAAAGCAATATTGAGAAAGAAGAACAAACTTAGAGGCATTACATTTCCTGATTTCAAACTATATTACAAAGCTATAGTAATCAAAACAATATGGTACTGGCATAAAAACCGATACATCAACCAATCTAACAGAATTGAGAGCCTGGAGATAAACTCATGTACATACAGTCAACTAATATTTGAAAAAGTAGTCACGAATACTCAATGGGGAAAGGACAGTGTCTTCAATAAATGGTATTGGGAAAACTAGATATTCACATTCAAAAGAATGAAGTTGGACCCCTACCTTACTCCTTTCACAAAAATTAATTTCAAATAGATTAAGGACTTAAGCACAAGACCTGAAACATAAAACCCTTAGAAGAAAATAAAGGGAAAAAACTCCTTGACATTAGTTTTGACAAGTATTTTTTGGATATGACACCAAACAACAAAAGCAAATATCAACAAGTGGGACTACATCATACTAGAAAGCTTCTGCACAGCAAAAGAAACAGTTGACAAAATGAAAAGGCAACCTATGGAATGGGAGAAAATATTTACAAACTGTATATATGATAAGGGGTTAATATCCAAAATATCTATAGAATGCGTATAACTCAAAAGCAAAATAATAATAATCCAATTAAAAATGGGCAAAGGACCTGAATAGATATTTTTCCAAAGAAAACTTCCAAATGGCCAACAGGTACATGAAAAATGTTCAATACCACTAATCATCAGGGGAATGCAAATGAAATCCAGAACGAGATATCACTTCATATGTGTTAGAAAGACTATTATCAAAAAGACAAGATACAAGGGTTGGTGAGGACTCAGAGAAAAGAAAACACCTGTGCACTGTTGGTGGCAATGTAAATTGGTATAGGCACCATGGAAAACAGTATGGCGGTTCCTGAAAAAATTAAAAATAGAACTACCATATGATCCACCAGTCCTACATTTGGTTACATAGCCAAAGAAAATGAAATCACTGTCTCAGAGAGCTATCTGCACTCCCATGTTTATTGCAATATTATTCACAATAGCCAAGACATGGAAATATTATTCAGCTGTAAAAAAGAAGGAAATCCTACCATTTGCAACAACATGGATGGACCTTGAGGGCATTATGCTAAGTGAAATAAGTCGACAGAGAAAGAAAAATACTGTATGATCTCACTTATGTGTGGAATCGTATAAAGCCAAATTCATAGAAGTAGAGAGTAGAGAACTGTAGTTCTCAGGGGCTGGGGGGTGAGGGAAATGAGGAGATATTGGTCAAAGGATACAAACCTCTAGTTATGAGAGGAATAATGCATAGCATGGTAACCACAGTTAACAATACCGTATTTTATAGTTGAGAGGTTTTATGCAAGTAGATTTTAAATGTTCTCACAACAACAACAACAAAATGGTAATTATATGAGGTGAAAGATGTGTTGACAAACCTTATTGTGACTAACCTTATGTATCTCCACAATATATACATCTATCAAATCATCACAGTATACACCTTAAACTCACACAATGTGTCAATTATATCTCAATAAAACTGGGTTGGGGGGAAAAAGTAAGAAATGCTAAAACAGACAGAAGTTCAAGACAGCAGAGTGATTAGCATTGAATCCATTAGCCTCTGCAGCATCAGAACATGGCCCCCTCAAGGTATATTATGCATATGCTCTCACAGTCCTGGCTGCCTTGAGCCAGACTTAGGGACAGACCCAGAGGCCTCACTACCACCTCTGGCAGTGCCCAATACTAGGTACTAAGACAATGGAGGCATCAACAAGGAAAAGTGACCGTCACTGATGGACATCAGTGGACAGTCCCATAGGCATTGATGTTTGGGCTCCCATAGCAGCAGGAACTATCACCATCCCCAGGGCCTAGAGTGAACTCTTTCCCAGTACTCATCGTCAGAAGCTGAGAAGGGCCAAACTGTGACTCTATTACAAGTCGTTATTATCCCAGCGTCTACCACAATACCTGACACAGAGGAGGCATACGCTGAATATTTATGGAATGGATGCGAGAATAAATGGATGAGCAATGAATGAATGAACAAACGAGAAAATATTGAAGTCACTGGATACACATTTTCAACTATGGGAATAAGCTTCAAAGACTGTCTTTAAAAATGTATGAAGGGAATGTTTGTGAACAGTTAAAACTCCAATCAAGGTGGCGGAGAGCAGTCTCAACGAGGCAGAACTGTAATTGGTTGTAAGTAGAACCCTAATCAAGTATATCAGACTCATGTTTGAAAGAAAAACCACACGAATAGAAGATGATCAGCCACCTGAGCAGAGAAAAAAACAGGATCCCAGAGGAAGAAAATGTTTACAAATAACTATGCAAGTGTTACCTAGAGGAAAAGGAATTCTGACTGAACACTAACATTTTGAACTTCTTGGTAACGGTACCCCAATCTGTTCCAGCTGGGGGATACTTCTTGAATCAAATCCCTCCTAATATTTGGATTCCTTGCTCACCAATCTTCTAACAATCCAGGAATTTTCATTTCTTGACAGTTATAATGCTTCCTAAAACTTGACAAATTTATGCACAGGAGACAAGCCTCTGAGAGCCGGGTTAATGGCACTCTCTTGGGGTGCTGGAAAAATGAGATTTCTGAGCCCCAGAGCTGAGGACTAGCTATGCCCTGATGGTAGTGAAACTCCCAGAGTGAAGGCCACAAGCTGTGGAAAGTGGTTGGTGGCTGGCTGGTCTTCTAGAAGTCACTTCTCTTCTTTGCCCAGTGCCCTTGCCAATATCACCTGTTCCCCCAAGAGAGTCAGAGGAGGACAGTAGGAAAATGGTGAATGCCACATAGCAACCAGTGGTTTGTAATAAACATAAAAAAAACACCCTGGAGTTCCCAAAAAAGGTGTAAAGAATTTTTAAATCTCTGGATTTTTCTACAAAGAAAATAGAAGCAGAACCAAAGAAAATCCATTTTGTGTCTGTCACTATGACGCTGTACTTTGTTGGGCCAGTGTCTCTGGGAAACTTTGTTTACACCATATTTATCCCAAATCTAATAAAATTCAAAGTCATTTAGTATTTGCTTCTGTGCATCTCACCAAGTCGCCAATTACTTCCAAATTACCAAGTTCATCTTGTTCATTGATTATCTTGGTACCTCTGAAACATTTGACATTGTAGATCACCAGCTCTTAATGGAAACTTTTTCTATTAGGCACAATGATGGGGCAACATGCTGCCTCTCACCCTATCTCTTCAGTGGCTCCTTCACTAATTGCAATTTTTCCTCCTTACACCTACTGGAGTTTGAGTCTTCAGACCTCTACTCTCTATCTTTACTCCTACCGAGTCCTGACCCATTCTGACTACTCTAACCACGCTCAACCAATATTTATTTATTGAGCAGCTCCTGTGTGATATGCTATCTTCTTCGTAATTGTGACTCAAGCCCAGCCCAGACTGGTGTCTGGAACATTAGATGCATGCCTCTAGCAGAACTTCCGGACGTTTATGTGTTGATGGCCTACCTTCACCTCCAACAAAGCACAGCATTGGATATGCAAATCAAAATAGCTTAAATATAAATTAAAATAATTTGCTCAAGCCCAGGTGTAGAGTGAGTTTCAGGATTCTGGCTTCTTTTTTCTGTCTCAGTTCTGCCCTCTTCCATGGGTTGAATTAATGCTCAGGCAGGCTATTGGCATTAGCACCATCTTCTTAGAAACCTCCACGCCATGAGAGCCAAGCGGAGGAAGAAGCAGATGTGCAGGCTGAAGCCCAAAAGAAAAAAGAAAGATGAGTTAGAGGTCCAAGTAAACCACTACCTTGAACACCCATAGAGGCCACAAGAGCAGAAATATGGAAGGCAGGTGGCCAGGCACAATGGTACAAGTTGTTAGATTGCATGCTTGGAACTTGTTTCAATGGATCTAGAACTTCCATAGCCATCTTGTTGCCACAGTCCCCGCTGAGAGGACCACTTTGCACACACCAAAACAAACTCTCTTGGTTCTGTGACATTCTGGACTAGTTGTATTCTCAGGTCTGGCTGAGTGTAACACGTGTACAATAGATCATCTCTTCTGCTGCCTTAAAAAAAATCCTCAGGTGGACTTTCTCATTGTAACGAGTGGTTGCCGCAGTTCCAGGACTCAAATGTACATCTCAGATTACAGGAGAAGAGAGCCTCTCTTCCACAGCCGCTGAAGAGAAGCTAATGGCTTTATCCTGACTGATGAATTGGGGTCAACATCTACCTATGGTCAACATCTATGGTCACTGTGGCCAGAGAAATGCTTTGAGCTGTTGGTTTAGGTCACAGCTCCAGGCTCTTTCCTGAATCAGTTACTGCGGCAAGGGGATGTGATTATCATGACTAGTTTAAGCCAAGCAGTGCCTTTCTCTGGAGAGCTAGAATTGTGTCAGCCCCACCAAAAGTATGGCTGCCAACTAATGGAAGAAGGGTGGAATGGATGCCAGAGAGGCAACCAATAGTTTTAGCTACATCTTGTCTATTTGGAGCCCATAGAAAAAGAATTCTGTATAATCAAGTTTCCATACAGCTAAGGATTTACTTCATTCCTTATACATATTAACCGGCTTGAAGGACATAGTTCAGAAGTGTATTCTTTATATCTTCTACTATTAACAGAAGTATACCGAATATAAATTAACCATTTAATGAGGATTTGAGGTCATCATGCTGAAAATTTATTATTGTACCAATTACAGTACAGAGACTGACCCCAGGAATTACTGAGCTGTGCATGGCTATGGCCCATGAAATGATCCAGAACACTATGAGCTTTAACAAATTGTATCTACTTTTTATGACTTTTCTTTCTCTTCCCTCTCTTTAGATGGCTACTTCTAATCTACAGTGGAATAATGAAGGTTTTTAAATTGAGTATAAATTAAAAGTAAAAAGAAATTGCCTAGGTGGAAATACGCCAGAATGCAAACCATGGTTGCCTCTGGGAAGGGGTGTTAACTTGTTTTTATTCATCTTTGTTTCCTCATGATTGTTTTCTATAATGATTAAGAGTAACTTTTATGATCTCACACACACAAACACACACACACACACACACACCCCACACACACACCCCATACACACACCCCATACACACACACATGCAAAACTAAACAAAGTAAATAGGATTTGGGTGGTGCCTTAAAATTCCCCAAGTGGAAAAATGTCCCAGCTATTAATTCTTCCAGCCTGTGGCAGATCTTCTTGCAGATTTAAGCCCTTGTTGTTGATTCCCTGTTGCCTGGTGTTTTCTGGGTCAGGGAGTATATATGCTTGAAGAGAAGAGATCATAGAAATGTCAAAACATACCAGGGGGAAGGTCAGCTACCTACTTACCGTGAGGCTTTGACCTGGTAGCTCTCCACCAGGCAGACACTGGCCCTCAGCCTTACAGATAGGGAAACCCAGTTTTGCCTGTGCTTCAGGGTTGCGCAGTTCATGAGGATGATGACTTAACTGTGGAAACTCATGGTTGACATGTGTGCTTCTTACCCAGAATATCAATTTAATGACAGACAATGAAAAAGAACCTGCTACTCAAAAGGCATTTTTCTCCCAGCATAGAAACCATATGGGGAGCCAAATTATATTTAGGTTGATTTGGTGAGCATAAAATTAGAACAAATTATTAAGTGTCATAAGGTTAAAATAGCCTGGTACATCCATCCATCAACAGGCTGGGTCATATCTGCCAATCACACCAGACTGCCTAAGGCCTCAGACCATTCCAAACAATGCTTTTTGGACACTTCCAAACTTTATCTTCATGGCTCACCATTTTATTTATTTCATTACCAAATAACCCCCTTTCTAATGAGTAATTCTTTCTTTGGATGAGTTAATACAGTCACAGGCTATGGATAAAGATTATTGCTCTTAAAGTTGCTTTTCATACTTCTCTTTACATATAGCTCTGGGAGAGCAGTTTTCAACTGCCAGGGCCACCTCATGGTTACCTCCTACTCTACATACTGTGTTCAACTTCTAAGAGAACTGAAATCCAAATCGAAAAGAGTACAAATAAATATAAAACCAAACTAATTACCTTACCCACAGCACATCCACCAAACCAAATCAGTTCCCCACACTAACTTATCTTTTTAAAAAATTAATGATAAAGCTCATCTTTGACTCTTCTTGAGGTGGCCAAGTCTTATTTTCTCCTCCTTCTCAATGCCTCCCCCATCCATTGTTTGCTTTCCATTCCCACTGCCCCACTTTTTTTTTTTTTTTTTTTTTTTTTGCGGTACGCAGGCCTCTCACTGTTGTGGCCTCCCCCGTTGCAGGGCACAGGCTCCGGACGCGCAGGCTCAGTGGCCATGGCTCACGGGCCCAGCGGACTCTCAACCACTGCGCCACCAGGGAAGCCCTCACTGCGCCACTTTTTTAAAAAAATCTCAACCTGAATTACTGTGAGTCCAGTAATTTCTTTCCTTGCCTCCTGTTTCCTCTCTTCTCTCATCTGCATATCATTGGCCTATTAATCTTCTAGAAACTTTCTCAGAATATTTAAGGACCCTCATGACACAAAGAGTGAAGTGCGAATGCTCTGGACCAGTGCTCAAAGTTCTCCCAAGTTTGGTCTTTATGTTCTGTTTGGCTTTGCTTTCTGTGACCCCTCAACAGGACCCTGCATTTCAGCTTTGTATATTCACTACGGCCAAATGAAAAAGTTAAATACAGACAATACTTATGTTTTGTAATGCAAACCTACCAGGAAGAAGTCTTAGAAATTAACACCAATAGATACAGTTTGCAGATTTTCATTTTAACAAATCATTCAACTTTTAAAAAAAAATTCCCTGTATTTACCTTCACAGACACATACATACTTTCATAGAACCATGGCTAGTTACCAGGTAATCAACGAGTATCGACAGCTGCAGTCATGCTTTTGAAGGAAACCTAAACCTGTCCAATGTAGGTCTTAATCCAATGACAGCTTCAGACAAGCATCGCATAACTCATATTGACTTGTGACCTACCATCATTCAGAAATATCTTGGAACATAAATGTCTCTGGCATTTAATGTGATAGAAACTCTGCTTATTTCTTATGCAGGATGTGACCTTGAGGGACATAATATGATCTGTTGGGTGTAGTCACCTTTCAGTAAGAACCCGACACAAAGTGATTTGAGCGATAAAGGCAATATTTTGACTCATGTAATTCAAAACGTGACATAGCTATACCCAAGTATTCAAACATGAACATATCTCAGCTCTGCATTTCCTCATGCTTTATTCCCCAGCAGATTCTTTCCAGATAGAAGGAACGACCAGCAGCTCAGTCTTAGCAACCCCATCAAAAAGATGGTGTCACTTTCCCAATACTATCAATAAATATGCTACGGTGGATTCTTATTGGGCCAGCTCAAGTCATATGCCCATTACTGAACCAATCATTGTGGCACGGGGATACATTGTCTTGATTACCCAGGACTGTCTCATGTACTCCTCCTCCCTGCTGAAGCCACAGGATGGGGTCAGCCCCACTGCACTACACGGATTGAGAATGGAGGAAATGTAGTTCTCCCAAGGAAAATCAAACGCTGTTATCAGAAGAAGCGAGAACAGATACAAAACAAACAGGTGAATACTAGGGGCAGATTCTTACATTAATGGGCATCCCTATTATCTCTTATTATCATATATTCATTCATGAGTCCCACAACTTTATAATCAAATTTTGAGATTAACTTTGGCAATTTGTATCAATATTTTTAATATACATACCCTTAACCCAGCAACTCTGTTTCTAGAAATGATAGCTCTGCTATTAAGTGTTTTCCTACATGTCCAACACTGGCCTGTGTACATTGAAGACGTTATTTCATTTAATACAGAACTCTAGGATGGAGTGGTATTATCTCTATCTTTGAGCTGAAGAAATTGGGCTGTTAAGGGACTTAAACAAGGTTGCAGAGCTAATAAGAGGTAAAGCCAGAAGTCAGTCTTCAAAGTCTTCACTACTATTAGTTACTTCCCTCAGCAGTCTCTGTGGCATATAGTCTCATGAATTTATTCTAAGCAAAACTATGACAGGTGAGAAAAGAGGCACATCCCAGGAGGTTATTTATAAATATTTGTCCACAGAACTCAATGTGAAATAAAGTTTCAATAACTTATGTCAACCTACATATTCCTCTCATTATCAGTAAATATATACTAAGTTCTTACTTTATAAAATGATAAAAGATTAATGACTTTTTTGGTAAGGCTGTGAAATTACAATTTTGTTCAAACCAGCTGTCTAAGCTACGGAAACATCCACAGTTAATCAGACACAGTAAGGCCTTGTGCATTGTTTCATATCTCTCACCATGTCAGTTTACCATTTAGGAAAAAGTTGGATACTGAATCTGTATTACTCAAAATATATCTTTATACATTGCAGCTGTCTATTATCAGGCCAAAGAGAGCTTTAGGCTAAATTATTTAACCTTGATGACACTCAACACTGGAACATTCCATCAAATTGGAAAGTGAGTGGCCTAGGAACCCACAGACCTGCTGGTTTTAACCATTTCACCCAAGAGTGAGAAGCTTCTGTTAGCAGTCAGAAACCTTCGCTCTGCGCTAGTCCCCAAATCAGGGCAAAAGAGGGGGCAGGACAGCAATGGCCCTGAAGCCAATGAAGAGGTTAGACCACTCTAAGGACAGCTGGAAAGGTAGCCATACTGGTCTAGGTTTCTGACAGCTGCCTGGACTAGGTGGGAGGAGAGGGAAAACTCAATACATAGAACTCTGTAACACACAGAAAGATCAGTTGATTTATAATCAGTCTCTTTTTTACCATGCCTCCATTTCTCATTATCCTCGGGAATGTATCCTCAGCAAATATAGCCCTAAAACACTCCTGAAAAGCACATGAAGGAGAAGCTCATTTGCACAAGAGTAATGATTTAGTCCTGTGAACTTTTAATTTGCATAATCCCCTTTCCTTTCCCCCTTTTGTAAAGGTCTTTGATATTTTTTTCTCCAAATGATGTGGGTTGGGGAAAAGAATTAAGCAAGCATCAAAGTTCTCCCTCCTGTGTTCTCAGCTATTACATTAATCTTTAAGATTTTTCTCTCCCGTTTATTAAAAATCAGTGACTCATCCAACTTTACACATAAATCCACATCAAAGTTAATTAGAATCTTGGTAGGCTAATGTTTGTCTCTTCCCTTATTAATTCCTAGAAGCTTGAAGCAAGGCTCTGTGTGTGATTGTGGAAGAAAGGAAAAGAGAAGCCAGTGGACTGACCTGCTAGGGCTTCATGGGCAGTGTTTGCATGGCTGGATTCAGAGTTGGGCCCAAGCCCACTCGCTGTGAAGAAGGACCAGGCCTCTAAGTAGCCCTGCTGATGGTCAGGTCAACCTCCTCTGGAACTGTGGTGAACCCTGACACCAATCTGAAAGAGGGAAAATGGAGGTAAGAATTAAACAACAGAGGATAGAGCCTTGCTTGCTGACATCTTTTGCTCTCCCTCCTCTATAATCAGGAAAAGCAGCCAATCATTCTCGTAAATTGACTTTCTCTCCTTCCTTCCTGTAAAGTTAAAAAACAAAAAAGATACCATGCAGCTTTGTAGAACTTCTACTGGAAGCAGGAAAAAAAAAACTGCAAGAGGTAAGAGGATAGTGCAAGACAGAAATGATCACACAGCAAGACATTTTCTTACGCGGGCCTCTCACCGTCGTGGTCTCTCCCATTGCAGAGCACAGGCCCCGGATGCGCAGGCTCAGCGGCCATGGCCCACGGGGGCCCAGCCGCTCCGCGGCATGCGGGATCCTCCCGGAACGGGGCACAAACCCGCGTCCACTGCATCGGCAGGCGGACTCTCAACCACTGCGCCACCAGGGAAGCCCCAGCAAGACATTTTTGTGTTTGGTTTTCTCAAAATGTACCTGGAAACAGAATGTACGGAGAGTACATGAGTAGGACAGGGGATTCGATCTAATGTACTTATTAGTGAGAAACTGACGGCACCAGCTCCAGGATTTATTGCATATTGATTTTGCTTTAGGAAGTTTGTGTGGAAATCACATAAAACAAACTGAGAAAACAAACTTTCTTCCCAAACCATTCTTGAAATGTGTTGGGAAATCTTCCAAAGTATTTTCTTATTTTGAAAAATTAGTTACATTATTAACATTCCAAAGTCTAAAGTATACACAACAGGAAAGCCAAAACCTCATACTTCTGCCCCATAACAAGAGGCTTAAATTATTCACAGATAAGACAAGTTAAAGTTTTAGAGCATAATAAACTTATTTCACATTCATACTTTTGAAACTACTCTTTAAAAAGCCACATAATTCCACACTATATGTAAGGAGATAATTTGAAGTCCTAGAAAAACTTAAAACCAAAAGAGTTCATATTGAGTTTAACCCACACTGGAGGGCTGATGCATTGTATTCAGAGGTTCCTCCCTTAGCTCTGATGACTAAGACTTTGTTCTGGGTCACATTCCATGTGCTCAGATCCTTTCCTCCCAGGAAATTTCTTACCCTTTCCCACCACCTTCCTCTCCCCCTCAAAACACAAGTATCAGGCCGTCTCACCAGCTTGCCCAGAGCCAATGCTCCTGAGCCCCAGCTTGAGTTCACCTCCCAGGAGGCTCTTCTGCCTCCAGAGAACAAGAAATCCAGGCAGGTTAAACCCGCAGAAGAATTGATAATTCCAGAAAAAGAACAAGGCACTTTCAGTCCTACAGAGAGGTGGCCACAAGATTGCTTTGGATTCTTCACACCATTACTCTGGATTCAGAGATGGGCCCAAGCCCACTTGCTGTGAAGAAGGACCATTAGCCATTTTAGCCATTTTAGCATGGCTAAAATGTAGGGCTGGGGTGGGCACAGATGCCTCAAATATGATAATCAGTTTATAATATTCACATTGTCACACAAGACCAGGTAAACCAGACTTGGGTTTTGCAATTTACATAGCCAAGTTCACGTCCTTGAGGCAACTCTACCACATTTCTACCAGTTACTGTTCAGTCCCTTTGGGATATGAAAAGGGTTGTTTTCCAACATCCCTTGGCCCTTCCTTCCCTAGAGGCTACATTTAAACTTCATCTTCACTTTTCAATGCTCAACCCACCCTGCTCTTAAGGATCTATTGTTTTGTATGAAATAAAATGATAAACATTGAATTTTGACACACCTTCTGTGCCACACTAATTCAATACCTACAAATGAGACATTTGTTTTGATTCATTATATGTAACAGAAATCATACAGAGGAGCCATGTTTTATGCAGGGATAGGTCTACTAAAGTCAGCATGTAAAATAAAATCACGTAGCAGCTAAATTTGTTATTCCCTTAAACTAATTTGGAATGCATAATTTTGTGTATACAGCCCTACTCGGTAATATATATCACTTTCAAATGATTCCACTTAATACAAGTGAAAAATATAATTTTCAACATTTTTTAATTTTGTAAGAAGAGAGAGTGAGAAGCTGGTATTCTTCATTGAGTTCTGAATAAGGTAGCTGGTTTGCATTTAGAGTGCATGTTCTATTAAAAAAAAACTCATAAAACAAAAAACACAACCATGCCTTTAAGGGCTAGAATCCCACGGAGCAGCAAGATGCTCCTTAGAATCACACAAGAGCTAGACACACAGGGGAGCACCATTTGTTGGTGTCATGGTGGATGCACGATTAAAATAAATATTTTTGTCCTTCTCTCACTTTTACCTTGTTTTTTATTGTTGGGTAGGCTGTTGGTTTGCTAAGCCAAGCACCTTTAGTTGAATTCCCATAAATTAAATGTGTGTGTGTATGAAATGCAACTCCACTGTAGAGAAAAAAAATGTGTATCAGGTTGATTACCCAGCAATGTTCACTTATTTGTCTATTTACTCTAAATATGAAGTTTGACTCCTTTTTACTGGGGGATTGAATCTCCTATTGCCACTGCTGCATGCAAAAAGATGTCCATATACACACGCACAGACGCACGTGGGCGTTACACACACACATGCACATACCGCCACCACTGAGGGGGCAGTATATGAAACACCCTCCTCCAAAATCTCCAGTCAAGGTTTAATCAACTTCGTCCCACTAACTGTTAAACCCCTTGGCATCTACGACCCCACCCCACCCTTGCCATGTGGCCAGATGTCTCATCTACTTCCTTGTGCTCTGGAAGTTACCTACATGGTGCCTACAATGCCCCTTTGGGCACTGAGTTCCTCCGGGGCCCCATCAGTACCCTGCCCTGGTCCAGGGCCCCACTGTGTGCTGCAGGCTCTGCTGCCCTCGCTGTGACCTGCACTTTTGCCGTGGCCACCTTTCTGCCCCCAGCACTGCTAGTAGCCTCTACTGTTGCTGCATTTGCTGCAGTAACCAGTACTGCTGGCTGCCTCTCCCCTAGAAAAGCAAGAAAAAGAGGAAACCAAGACACTCTTGGGTACTAGTCAGCTCTCTCCTTCAACAGTTCAAGGTCTGAATTTCTGGGTTATAAGGAGTCTTGAAGATACTACTGCAGGAGGGAAGGAGGGGGCCTTGTCAGCAAAGGGCATATTTCAGGTTAGTTGATAATGGGAAAATCATTAACATGAAATAACGGCAACAACAAACACTTACATAGCACTTAGAACACCCTAAGCACTGTTTTAAGTGCTGACACACCTTAACTCATTTAAGGCAACTGTTTTGGCCCCTTTCAATATTAAGAACATGTTGCTACCTGTATTGGCCTCCTAGCTCCACCCCAAACTTGCCAATAGGAGGGAAATCCCCTTCTCTCTCATTGTCAGCCAGAGTGACAGTTCTGTCTTCCCAGTCAGGGCATACTCAGATTGCATATGGCTGATAGCTGGCTTCTCCCAAATTCTAGCAGTCCTAGCTTACTAGATTACAATATAAAATGTAGGCTTCCTAGGAACAGATACTGTGTTTGCATTCACATTTTTAAACTCGTTTTATAATGAAAATGAGTAGGAAACGTTTATACATACATATATACATGCATATGCATTGATACGTTTATCTCATATATATGAGATACACATGATATACATGAGAAAACAAATGTCATATATATATAGTCATATATATATGAGAAAAACATATATAAAAATTAGAGAAGAGTATAATAAACCTTTATAAACCAGTCCTAATTTCAACAGTTATCAACATGTGAATAATCTTGCTTCATCTATACCCCACCCACAGAATTATTTTGAAGCAAATTGCAGACATCCTATTATTTCATCTATAAATACCTCAGTATGTGTGCCAGTTATCAGTTTAACATTCCGCAGCTCCAAACCCACCCCTCTTTGTTCCAATGTGTGATTCTGGAGCTGGACCCTAGAAACATTTCTCTTTTGCCAGCTGGCAAGATGTTAAGCTTTATGGTTAGAGGACATCAGAGGGACCCTGGAGGCGGAAGGGGTCTCTCTTCCAGGCCTCACTGTGCTCTCCCCTGCCTGTTCTTATAGTCGCAGGCAGCCGCAGCTCAGGAGCCGCATAGGGGCACTAACCTCCCAGAGAGTTTGGCAGCACCCAAATGGGTGGCTTCCCAGTGAGTTCTGCTGGCATCTCAGCCAACCTCCCAGTGAGTCTCACATGTGCTCAGCTGGGGTCTTCTCATGATTTTATATATGTGTGTGTTTGTATACAGCTATATGCAAAACATTTCCATAATTCTAAAGTTATAGCTACAAAACAAAGAACATTTAGTGCAGTCTAGCTTCCATTCATGTCCTCTTCCCTTTCCTTTAAGAAATCATTTTTCATTAATTTGTCAATTCTACCATTTTTAAAGATAAAAGCAAAAATATTCACATTCCCCTTTCTTTAAAAAAGGTAGCACACTATATGTACTATTTTGTACCTTGCTTTTTTCCACTTAACAGTATATCCTGAAAATCACTTCGTAAATGTAGAGACGTCTGCTGCCGTTGCTTAGTATTCCCTGAGTGAATGCACAGTATTCAACCATCCCTGAACTGGTGGACATCTGAGTTGTCTCCAGTCTTTTGCTATTATAGGCAATGCTTCAGTGAACATGTCTTTTCAATTTTGTATCAGAGTATCTTCAGTATTGTATCAGTTAGCTTTTGCTATCTATAGCACATTACCTCAAAACTTAGTGGCATAGAGCAACATCATTTATTAGCTCAACATTCTGTAGGTCAGCAATTTGGGCAGAGCTCAGCCCTGTCCTTCCTTCTGCTGTTTTCACTCATGTGACTGAAGTCAGCTGTCAACTCAGTTGGAACTGGAGAGTCCAAGGTAGATTCACTCACATGTTGGGAGGTCGGTCAGCTGCTGGCCAAGAAGCCACGAGTGGCCTCTCACCCTCTGGTAGGCTAGCTAGCACTCACTTATACGTTCTTGTTGCACTCTCAGGGTTCCAAGCACGTCAAGAGAAAACAAGACCCAGTGCACAAGTACTTTTCAATCTTCTGCTTGCGTTAACTTTGCTACTGTCCTAGGGTACTCAGACAAGCTCATTGTTATGGGGAAGAGGGTGACTACCCAAAGATACGCACACAGGCAGAGGTATTCTAGCAGTCATTTGCAATCTGTCACAGGGATAGAACTCCAAAGACAAGGTTGTTGAGTCACAGGGCGAATTCAAATGTAAAATTTCCAAATCCCCCAACCTCCTAACCCTAAGGATTAGACCATTAGTATTCCCTCCCACTATGAAGGAAAGTGCCTGTTTCTCATAGTGTCAGTGCCCATACAATAGTGTATGTTTTCAAA